GGAGGAGGCAGAGGGAGAGGGAGAATGCTAAGCAGGCTCCATACTCAGGATGGAGCCCGATGTGGGACTGGATCTCATGACCCTGAGATCATGACCTGAGCTGAAATCAAGAGTCAGACACTTAACTGACTGAGCCACCCAGGCGCCCCAGGATGGATTTCTTAAATAAGAGTTTTAAAATCACAACTATAGATGAATTTAACTAAAGTACACATTTAAATTTTGCTCAAAAAAGATGCCATAAGCAAATTTAAAGGACAAACCACAACCAGAGACATCAGGGGACTCTTCTGCAGATTTCTGGAAACCGCTCTGTGCAGCCTTCCCCTCCAGTGTTCTTGTCCTATAAACTTGAGCTGTGTTGATCTCCCAGGTGCCAGACTCTTTCTCCTCAACCTGGTCCGCTGGACTCTCTTTGGATCCCACCTCCCTGTACTTGGGATTTGGGAACCTACCCCAGGCAGTAAGCTGGGCAGTCACAGAACGCCCCGTGTTTCATTTCTGCTTCTCGAGAATCATCATCTTGCAGACCTTTCTCCATTATTTTACCTATTCTGTCTGGTTTTCTAGATGTTTAACAGGGGAGAGTAAATCTGGTCTGTTATTATTCTGCCATGGACAGAAATGGAAGTAATCCTACCATCATTTTAATAAAGTTTGAAAATAAGCAAAACAATTACATATATAAACACACACACACATAATGGGAAAAAATGAAATAGTATAAAAAACACGCCTAGGGAAGCTAAACATTAAATTTGAGAGGACAGTTACTTGGAGAGGTAGGAGAAGGCTACTCTGAAGTTAATAAGCAGTAATGGAATTTTTGAATTCTTTGAAGCTTAATGGTAGGCACATGGATGTTTATCATGTTATTCTGTGTACTTCTTGTGTGCATGAAATATAAGAAGAATGGAAAGGTGTGCAAAAAGGAGAATTAAGTAAAGAAAATATTAAAGGTGGGGCACCTGGGTGGCTCAGTCGGTTGAGTGGTTAAGTGTCTCTGACTCTTAGTTTCAGCTGAGGTCATAATCTTGGGGTTGTGGCATCAAGTTCCATGTTGGGCTCCCCACTAAGTGCTGAGTCTGCTTGAGATTCTCTCCTTCTCCCTCTGCCCCTCCCCCTGCTCTCAGTCTCTCTCTCTCTTTCTCAAATTAATAAAGTGTTGGGACGCCTGGGTGGCTTAGTCGGTTAAGTGTCTGCCTTCAGCTCTGGTCATGATCTCAGGGTCCTGGGATCGAGCCCTAATCAGGGCTCAACGGGCAGTCTGCTCCCTCTGCCTCTGCCCCTCCCCCGCTTGCTCCCTCTCTCTCTCTTTCCCAAGGAAATAAATAAAATCTTTAAAAAAACAAATAAGGGCGCCTGGGTGGCTCAGATGATTGGGTGTCTGCCTTAGGCTCAGGTCATGATCCCCGGGGTCCTGGGATCAAGTCCCGCATCGGGCTCCCTGCTCCTTGGGAGCCTGCTTCTCCCTCTGCCCCTCTCTCCCTCTCTCTGTCTCTCATGAATAAATAAATAAAAAATCTTTAAAAAAATAAATAAAAAAACAAGTAAAATCTTTTTTAAGAAAAAGAATATTGGTTAAAGAGCATCCTAGGAAGATAAAGAGGTGAAATAGAGGAATTCATGTATCTGAAAGCCACCTAAGCCAGAAGGCACCGTTTTGGGGGTGGGGACAAAATGGTAGCCAACACAGCTGTTACACCTCTTTCCCTCATCAGCTGGATCTCCGGAAGGCCTGTGATTTCCCTACTGGTGCTTTCCTCCCGGTACTTTTCTTTGATGAAACCCTTCAAAACCTCGGCTTCCACAAACACCGCGAATAACTCCTCCCATGCCTTGTTGAATCATCTGTCCTCCACTCCTGGGTCACCCCCCTCGTTGGTGAAGACTTGAGCTCTTGGGTTCTTGTCACGCTCTCGGTGACCCACACAGATGGTCTCTTGGACTTTGGCCTCTCCGTTTCTTGCACTGCTTTCCTCAGTGACTGTCTCTTGCTTGGGGCTTCACCAGCTTCTGACTGGTTTCCCTTCATCATCATCACCCTCCTACCACATCTGTTCTTAACACAGTAGCCATCGGAGTGTCCTCTTAATACATGGCATCATGTCATTTCTCTGCTCAGAGTCCTCTCGTGACTCTCCATCTTGCTCAGAGGAAAACCCAAACTCCCCTTATGGCCTTTGAGGTACTATAGTATCCGTCTCCTGCTACTGTCCCTCGTCCTTTCTGCCCCTGCCGGTCACTCGGGGCTCCGTGATGCTCCTGGAACATGCTGGGCATGCTCCTGCCTCCTCTGTACCCGCCACCCACTCTGCCCAGCACGTTTCTGCTGTAGCCACCCCACCTGCATGGCGTTTACTCAGCTCCTGTGGGGCCTTCTCCTCAACTGTCACCTTCTTCGCGAGTCCATCCCTGACTGCTTTATTTAAAACTGTACTCTCGTCCCCACAGAGCTTTTCTTCTTTCTTTTCTTTCTTTTCCTTCTCTTTTCTTTCTTTCTTTTCCTTATTCTTTACTTTATTGTCTGTCTCCCTCCACTGAAGTACAATTTCCACGAGAACATGTTTTATTTATTGCTATAAGACAAGTGTCTCGAACAAGTGCCTGGTGCAGAGAAGATGCCATTAGTGGCTTTGGGGATCCCTGTGCCCCCCATTTCTTGGGGATTAAGGAGCAGGAGAAGGGTGCCTAGTCCCTGATGCCATGTGCTCACATGGGCACCCATGGCAGTGGCTGTCATCTGGACTGGGCTTTGAGCCGCAGCCAGGCAGGGGGCTGTGGCGGTGTCCCGAGATCTCAGCTGTGTGACTCTGTCTGGTCTAGAGGGTCTCTCTGTGACTTCCCTGCTTCTCTTGGGGATAGAAATCATTTGGTTGCTCCCATGCCATGAGAGGGCACAGCAACTCTCCAAGGCTGTCTGAGGCTCCATCCGCCAAGGTGCTCCATGCAACTGTCATTCCTGGGCTCTTGTCTTTCTGGGGCTCCATCCAGCTCTCAGATCCCACAATTCTGCCTGGAAGTTCTGTTGCCTCCCCAGGGCTCAGCTTCGGATCAGGGAACAAGGACTTTCTCTCTGGGACCCACTGACATCTTTTCAATGTTTTCCAGTGTTTTTTCCCCTGCTTCTCTTATTCTTGCTTTTTCCTTTTCCTCCCCCATGCTGGAGATCTTTCTCCTGGTATGACGAGGAGGGCAGTCTTGCTTTGGCTCATCTCTTGTCTAAGTTGTGAATCCTTTCTATTTTGCTAAGGGCCTTTTGAAATAGAAAACTAGGAGGATAGACCCTTTCTTTCTGCCTTTGGCCCTCACCTTCTCTTTGCTGGAATGCTTTCAGGGGGAAGAAGGGCCAAGGGGCATGGGGGAGGGAAAGGTTTGGGCAGGGGAGATTGTGAAATATTTTACCAAGACAGTCACACCATGTGATGCTGATAATGACCACAACAATGTAGTTCACATTTTTTGTGCACTTAGTGTATGCTGGGCCTTCTAGCTGCTCTCTGTAATGCGCCTCCATTAATCAACACAGCAACTTTATGTGTGTTTATTATCATGCTTATTTTCCATAAAAGCAAACTGAAGTCTACTGGGGGAAAGGGGGCCGCTCAGGTCCCACATTTTGCAAATGATGGACCTGGGCTTTGGAAGCAAGCCTGCTGTGCACTATGCCTCCTGGCCCCCTGGGAACACCCTCAGAGCCTCAGGACCCAGGGCCACGGACATGGGATCAGTTGATTCTTCCATATACCTGGTGCTCATCCAGCAGGAGTGGAGCTGGCCTTCCTCTTCTTTCCCTGGCCCGCCAGGTGGGCCTCTCTCTGGTGCCCCCATTGTCAGCCTCTTTCTGCAAAGCTGGCTTCCCTCTCTGCTTCTGCTTTAGGCCCATCTCATCTCCCTGGAGGAGTCCAATCTCCCTCCCTCCTCTCTCCTCGCCCCCCTCCTCCCTCCCTGTCCCTCCTCCCTCCATCTTCCCTCCCCCTGCCCTCTCCCTTCTCTCCCAACTCCCTCCTCCCCTCTCCTCCCTCCCCCTGCCCTCTCCCTTCTCTCCCAACTCCCTCCTCCCCTCTCCTCCCTCTCCCTTCCCTCTCCCTTCCCTCTCCCTTCTCTTCCAACTCCCTCCTCCCCTCTCCTCCCTCCCCCTTCCTTCTCCCTCCTCCCCTCTCCTCCCTCCCCCTTCCTTCTCCCCTCTCTCCCGACTTCCTCCTCCCCTCTCCTCCCTCCCCCTTCCTTCTCCCCTCTCTCCCGACTTCCTCCT